CATATTATAGTAACTGGACATTTCCTAAACAATATCCAGAAACGTATGTAAGCCTTGCTACACCCTAAAGCTGAGTTTTGTGTGTCAGGTTTCTCTGCGAAAGCACATGTTTTCCAGCCTTTTATAACCTTTATCGGCTGTTTCCTTACAATCTTATTGTTTCACACATCATCCCATTTTTCTGCTCTGTTTCTCGTTCAATTTCAATGTAACTTTCACAGGATACCAACAACACCTAGTTCTAAATTTCGGCTTGTTGAATTTTTGATAAACGGAGTAGCCTTTGATTTATGGGCTTAAAAAGCATCAATTTTCAATTTTTTTCACTTTTTTTTGCAACATCCCAATTGTAAGTGTCATACAATAAAAACTAAGGCTTATATCAAAATTTCAACTAGCCAAATTTAAGAGCTACATATTTACTGTTGGCAAGCCAAGTTAGAAGTGAAGCAGTTGATAAATAAGGCAATAAAATGGGATTGAAAAAGGTACACAAAACCCAATATGGCTGCTCGTTTTCATAGCAATCGATTCACAATATACTTTTTAAACTATTGATTTCAAATCCCCAATAACACACAATGTCCTACAGCAAATATGGGTACTCTAGGCCTTGTAATAGCCAAAATAGACCTCAGGTGCCCCACCAGCCCTTAAGAGTTTTACTGCATTGGCAACACAATTAGGTCATGTAAGTGCTGAAGACCCAGACAATTTCAGAAATCCAGATTTCCGGATTTATCCAAAAAAAAGGGCACTTCTGACAAAGAAAGAGAATAGCCCAGACCCACCGGAGCACCTGTCATCTGCTGACACAGAAAGGAGAAACGTACCTAAAAGCTTGTTCTCAAAAGCAGCCTGGCCCAGGTTGACAAACAACCTGCTGCAGGGAGAGGCGGCCAGAGGAGACTTGAGCAGAGCCGTGATGGAGTTGTAGATGTCCTTGATGTAGGTGGACAGCTCGGCCGAGACAACTCGCAGCAACCCCTCTATAATGGTACAACTGCATAGAACTGTTCTGTTGAGCTGTGCGGAGGCAAAAGATACAATCGAGTCACAAGGGTTGAAAATGTGACGTGAACTCATTTCCTACCAATCATTTTTATTTAGAACACTTACGACTCAATAATTGTGGCAATTATAAACTCTTTATTATAATTGCTTCATTAGTAATTAACTTTTGAAATTATTCAAAAATGACCAGCTCAACCAGCTAAAAAAAGTAAGTTGAGAACAATAATAAAAAACATACACATATGAGACACTCCATTCAGTGACACAGAAAAATATGATTTCCATTCTTTCATTTTTACTTACTTAGTTTAAGTTTTATAAGACTTTTTACAGCGCTCGCAAGTGCACAAGGTCATATGAGCGCCAAGGGGTGGATGTCAACAGAGAAGTCCATACAGGGAATCAGCCTTGCTCGGCTCACCTCTCTAGCTTCAACAGCACAAAGTCTGCTTCGACTATCAAGGCACCCCAGAAATAGCGGTTCACAAAAGTGTGACAAACATACAAAAGAAGTAAAGGTAAAATGACGATAGTAAGGATTAGGGAAGAAAAAGCAGCAGTTCTCCTTTGCATTTCAGGCAGTTATGAGCATGACATTGATGAATCAGCCCATTTACAATTCTACAGCGCATAAAAAAATGTTAATGTCCCTCCTTTGGGAATGGCCTCAAGACACTTCAGTCAGGCGCACCATCCGGGGGGGGGGGGGGATTCTTAGTTACATCATTCGTCACACAGACCAATACTACAACACAATGCAAATCTTTGTCACCACATCAACAACTACGGTCCTAAACGGTCAGTAGATTTCGTTCCATATTTTTTAAAAACAAAGTAAGAACACAAACAGTTAATATATTAGGTACAGATCCTCGACTCGCCCAAAGACCCACCTGTTGCATTCGCTCTCGGATATCCGCCTCCCTTTGTTTCGTAGCAGCGAGCTGCTCTTCCTGTTTCTTGCTCAGCTTGGGGGCATCAGTTCCCTTTTTGCCCTTTTTCTTCTCCATTTCCTGAGACAGAGACACACAAGTTAAGTTACATAAACGTAATTATCTGGGCTAGTTTGCATGGCACAAAGGCATTACATTTACTATTTGTTCCTGCATTTAGTACGACAGCTCCCTACAACATGCAGACACCATATCTACGTAAATGTTGCTTCAAGATCTTTTTGGTCAAATACTTTATCAGCCATTTGGCAGTAATTTTCGAGGAGGAGGAGGAGGAGGAGGAGGAGGAGGAGGAGGAGGAGGAGGAGGAGGAGGAGGAGGAGGAGAAGAAGAAGAAGAAGAAGAAGAAGAAGAAGAAGAAGAAGAAGAAGAAGAAGAAGAAGAAGAAAACGACAGCGACCCCCCCCCCCAAATATCACATACTACATAACAGCATAGCATTATAAACAATTTTACAAACACACCATTGCTGGTTGCTATAATACAGCATCCTTTTTAGCAAAGGTTACCATGGCTGCGTCAAGGACAAAACTCATCTACCACTGATCTAAAGACAATGTCACAGTATTGCCAAGCATTGTTCGTAAACCTGAGCTGATCAACCAGTCAACTCTGAAGCC